TATATATCGATCTATCTGTCTATCTATCTATCTATCTGTCTCTCTCTATCTCCCTGAAAGCTTCCTCTACCTGTCGTCTAGGCGTTTCGTCATGTCATGTTTTACGTCAGCAGTCTGAACTTTGCAGTACATGTATTTCCTATTCGCGGTATTTTCAGCTCAGATAAGCAGATTGTTAGCACTGCTCTAAATTCCCCTGGGATTAAAAAAGGAGGAGTGCATAAAAAAGGCTCTAGAGTTCGCGAGAAGATGACAAGAGAACAGGAGGTGTTGTATTAACGAGACGAAAGCTGCCAACAGCACAATAACTCTTTTTTAGATGCTGAAGTCACAACCTGAGCCACATGGGGTTTCTGTTGATTGCAAATACATCGGTCCTTCCAGCCAATAACAAGAACCTAGTCCTCCTTGGGGAAGCACATGCAACGAACAGTATGCGTCTATAATGTCAGAAAGTCTGAAAGTAACCCTGATTAAAACGAGGTTTTTCAACGTGAGTTTCGTAGTCCAGCGGAGTACAACAGTCACACTCACATGATAAATGTTAATGCCTAAGTCATTTTAGCCATTTTGAGAAAATGAGAAAAAAAAAACGAACAGTTCAATAGTTCAATCTGTTAATCGCTTGAAATTTTGTACACTCAATTGATTAAATATAGTTGAGTTATTCTTTTGTCCAAGGGAACTATAATATTATCAAGCTGGCTCTGCTCTTCATTTCAGAACCAAAAACTAAACCGGCCGAAACTGACTTAGGCAATAATAATATAATAAGCGTGATTATTTTGCAAAAGTCGTAAATCTACTTGTTTTTGAGTATGTCGAAAAGCACGACCACTCCGGAGGCTGGATAGGCGAGCGTCCCAGATTTGGAGTCCACGGACAGACTGTTCACTCCGGCACACGTCATGCCCAGGGCCAGCCGGAGTTTGGGCCGCTGGAGGGGGACGGGGAGGGTGACCGGTCGGTTGAACTGCCGCATCATGGTTCAGGCCTTCTCGCGACCAGTGCCGCTGTCTTCTCTGCCAAGTTCTCTAGCTCTGGCCGAGGGCACACAAAAATACGACCTTTTGGGTATAACAACCATGGATATTGGCGGTATGTAGGCAAATTTTTAGAAAGTGTGAAATCCTTTTTGGACTGGGTGTTTTGATTTTGTTTTGTTTTTTTTTGGGGGGGGTTCAGGTTTGTGTGCATGTGTGCGCTCGCATGAGTGTGTGTATTTGTGTATGTACATGTGCGTGATAGTGTGTGTGCGTGTGTGTGCCTCTGTGTGTATGTATTTTTTTGTATTATAGTAGAGGGTTTTACGGCGCTCGCAACTGCATAAGGTCATATGAGCGCCAAGGGGTGGGTGTCAACAGAGAAGTCTTTAC